CCCAGGGGGACAGCTTGAGGCTCTGTCTCAAAAAAAAAAAAAAAAAAAGATATTGATACTCTACTCGTAATATATTTGACACGTACCTTTGCATTATGCACAATAGTTGAGGTCCCACTGATTACCCTCCCTCCACCTGACCAGCCCCCTCCCTTACCCTCGCCCTCTTCTCTCCTTCTTTCCGGGCCGTAATTGTTATTTTATCATTCATATGCAAGTGTGGGTGATGGCACGGCAACTGTAGCACAGTGGTTATGGCGTCAGCCACATACACCGAGGGTGGCGGGTTTGAACCCAGCCCGGGCCAGGGAAACAACAATGACAACTGTAACCAAAAATAGCCAGGCATTGTGGCAGGTGGCTGTAGTCCCAGCTACTCGGGAGGCTGAGGCAAGAGAATCACTTGAGCCCAAAAGCTGGAGGTTGCGGTGAGCTGTGATGCCATAGCACTCTGCCAAGGGCAACACAGTGAGACTCTGTCTCAAAAAAATAAAAAAAGTGTGGGTGAATAAATATTGTTTTCATAACAGTACTGAGTACACTGGATGCTTTTTCTTCCATTCTCGAGATACTTTACTAAGAAGAATATGTTCCAGATCCAAACATGTAAACATAAAAAAGGTAAAGTCCCCATCTTTTTATGGCTGCATAATATTCCATGGTATACACGTACCACAATTTGTTAATCCATTCATGAGTCAATGGGCACTTGGGCTGCTTCTTTGACTTGGCAATTATGAACTGGGCTGCAATAAACATTCTGGTGCAAATGTCTTTGTTGTAAAATGATTTCTGGTCATCTGGATATATACCTAGTAGAGGAACTGCAGGATTGAACAGCAGGTCTACTTTTATTTCCCCAAGTGTTCTCCAACCTTCTTTCCAGAAGGGATGTATTAGCTTGCATTCCCACTGGCAGCACAGAAGTGTTCCCTTCTTGCCACATCCATGCCAAGATCTATAGTTTGGGGATTTTGTGATGTGGGCTAATCTTACTGGAGTTAGATGATATCTCAAAGTGGTTTTGATTTGCATTTCTCTGATGATTAAAGATGATGAGCATTGGCTTGGCACCCGTAGTTCAGTGAGTAGGGCACCGCCCACATACACCAAAGCTGGTGGGTTAGAGCCTGGCCTGGGCCTATTAAACAACAATTGAAAACTGCAACAAAAAAATAGCTGGGCATTGTGACAGGTGCCTGTATTCACAGCTAATTGGGAGGCTGAGGCAAGATAATTGCTTAAGCCCAAGAGTTTGAGGTTGCTGTGAGTTGTGATGTCATAGCACTTTACTGAGGGTAACACAGTGAGACTGTCTCAAAAAAAAAAAAGATGATGAGCACATTTTCATGTGTTTGTAGGCCATGCGCCTGTCTTCTTGAGAGATGCCTCTGTGCAAGTCTCTTGCCCACAATGAAATGGGATCACTTGTTTGTTTCTTATTAATTAGAGTTCTCTGCAGATTCTATTTAATAGACCTTTGTCAGAAACATAACCTGCAAATATCTTCTCCCATTCTGAGTACTGTCTGCTTGTTTTACTTACTTACTGTGTTCATGGCTGTGCAGAAGCATTTCGGTTTGATCAGATCCCAGTAATATATTTTTGGTGTTGCTTCAATTGCCCGAGGGGTCTTCCTCATAAAATAATCTCCCAGGCCAATTTCTTCAAATGTTTCCCATGGACTCTCTTCTAGTATCTTTATAGTTTCATGTCTTAAGTTTAAATCTTTTATCCAGTGAAAATCAATTTTTGTTAATGGTGAAAGGTGAGGGTCCAGTTGCAGTCTTCTACACATCACCAGCCAATTTACCCAGCACCATTTATTAAATAGGGACTCTTTCTCCCAATTTATGTTTTTGATAGGCTTATCAAAGATCAAATGATGCTAAGGAGCTGGGTTCATCTCTTGTTTCTCTATTCTGTTCCATACATCTTTTGATCATGATAGATTTATAGTATAGTCTGAAGTTTGGTAACATGATTTTTCCTGTTCGTTTTATTTCTGACTAATGTCTTGGCTATTCAAGGTTTTTTCTGATTCCATATAAAATGAAGTACTATTTTTTCCAGATCTTTGAAGTATGACAGTGGTGCTTTAATAAGCATTGCATTAAATCTGTAGATGGGCTTTGGAAAGTATGAACATTTTGTTTTATTTTAGTTTATTTTTTTAGAGACGGAGTATTACTTTATTGCCCTTGGTAGAGTGCCGTTGCATCACAGCTCACAGGGACCTCCAACTCCTGGGCTTAGGGGATTCTCTTGCCTCAGCCTCCCAAGTAGCTGGGACTACAGGTGCCTGCTATAACGCTGGCTATTTTTTGTTACAGTTTGGCCAGGACATTTTTACAATGTTGACTCTTCCCAGCCATAAGCATGACATGTTTTTCCATTTGTATTTTTTTTTTAAGAGACAGAGTCTCACTTTATCGCCCTCAGTAGAGTGCCTTGGTGTCACAGCTCACAGCAACCTCCAACTCCTAGGCTTAGGTGATTCTCTTGTCTTAGCCTCCTGAGTATCTGGGACTACAGGCTCCTGCCATAATGTCCAGCTATTTTTTGTTGCAATTTGGCTGGGGCTGGGTTTGAACCCACCACCCTTGGTATATGGGGCTGACACCCTATCCACTGAGCCACAGGCCCACTCTGTTTTTCTATTTGTTAACATCTTCAGCAATTTTCTTTCTCAGAGTTTCATAGTTCTCTTTATAAAGATTTTTCACGTCCTTTGTTAGGTAAATTCTCAAATATTTCATCTTCTTTGGTACTACTGTAACAGAAATAGAGTCCTTGACTAATTTTTCAGCTTGACTATTTTTGGTATACATAAAAACTACTGATTTATAAGTATTGACTTTGTATCCTGAGACGTTGCTGTATTCCTTGATCACTTCTAAGAGTTTTGTAGTTGAGTCCCTGGGGTTTTCCAGGTATAAGATCATATCTGTGAAGAGTTAGAGTTTGATCTCCTCTGAATACATCTGGATACCCTTGATTGCCTTCTCTTGCCTGATTGCGATGGCTAAGACTTCCATTATTACATTGAATAGCAGTGGAGATAATGGGCATCCTTATCTACTTCCAGGCCTGAGTGGAAATGTTTTCTATTTCGGTCCATTCAATATGATATTGGCTGTGGGTTTGCTGTAGACTGCCTCTATAAGTTTAAGAAATGACCTGTCTAAGCCTATTTTCTTAAGTGTTCTGATCAAGAAAGGATGCTGCATATTATCAAAAGCTTTTCCTGCATCAATTTAAGAGTACTGTGTGGGTTGGCACCTGTGGCTCAGTGAGTAGGGCTCTGGTCCCATATACCGAGGGTGGCAGGTTAGAATCCAGCCCTGGTGAAACTGCAACAAAAAAATATCTGGGCTTTGTGGCGGGACACCGGTGGTCCCAACTACTAGGGAGTCTGAGGCAAGAAAATCACCTAAGCCCAAGAGCTGGAGGTTGCTCTGAGCTGTGACCCTGTAGCATTCTACAGAATGACAAAGTGAGACAATGTCTCTAAAAAAAAAATAAAAGAGTACTGTGTGATGGGGGGGTGAGAGGAGCAAGATGGCAGCCAAGTAACAGCTTCTTTGCAGCTGGGAGTGGTGAGATTGGGAAGAGAAGACTCCAGGCATCTCTGGCTGGTGGGATCTGCCCAGAAACATCCCTTTGGGG